GAGCAGAGGAGGTATATTTGTCTTTGGTGATCTCTCCCTGTTTCCACTTTTTATGTGCTCCCCTTTTGGCCCTTAGGCTGCCCTGGATTTCTGTGGTCAGCCAGGGAAGCCTCCTTACCCCTTTCCCCCTTTTGCCTCGCTCGGGGATTGTCTTGCTTTGTGCCCGAAGGATCATTTCCTTAAGGCACAGCCACCCTTCTTGGGCTCCCATCACTTCAAAACTCCTACTCTGCAGTGCGTCCTTGACTAATCGCCTGAGTTCATTGAAATCAGCTTTCCTAAAGTCTAGCACTTTCACCCTACTAGTTACCTTACCCACTCGACGTCTTATGGTGAATTCTATTATTAGGTGATCACTGACCCCCAGATGGCTACCGATCTGGAGGTCCCCTACCATGTCATCCCCCATTGCCAATACCAGATCCAGTATGGCATTCCCCCTAGTGGGACCGTGTACCTCCTGTGTCAGGTGGAGGTCCTGTACACAGGTTAGAAACCTGCGTGAGCAGGTTTCCAGGTGCAGTTTCCTTGAACCCCCTGCACCTATTTCCTTGAAACTTGGCAAGCTTCATGCCCTCAGAAGGGGCTACCATTCCTGCAAGGTTCATCCAAATCAACCTAGAAACAGCAAAGTTATAGACTGTTTTGTTCTTCCCCATTATAGCCTATGGGTGAAACGTCTAAACAATTTTGCCATTTTGACCCTGTTTTGATTGAACAAAATGGAACAGCTGTTTCGAATAAAAAAAAAAAAAATTCAAGACGAAACACTGTTCTGTCAAAATGGAACTCTGCCACTTTGCACAGCCCTAGTACCAATTTAGCAAGTAGCAGGCCTTATAACTTGTTTGTGTTCTTTTCTGACTTCATGCTTTCAGAAAGCAAATGGTGTACTATATCCACGTATACTGTATACATTTATGAAGTGTCTTTTGAATAGCTCTTCCCCCATTAAATAGCTAATGGAACAGCATAGACAAAAAATGAAGAATCTTTCAGTAGCAAACATGTACAATGGATTTTTTTTTTTACCTTTGTAGACCTCATGCCAATCTAAATGAGATAGCCATATGATTTGCATTCTTATAGCATTCAAAAGCAAACTAAAAAGTACATGTTGTCTGACACAATTAAATGTGCAGAGTAAGAGGAATACAAGTTGATGAAAGAGTTAATCCCAGGACAAAATTAGCTTCCATCTTTTGGCTCTCTTACCTCATTTACAAAGACCCAGTGACTATCCTTTGAAGCAAGGTTGGTTTCCACAGCCTACAGAAATACAAAAAATAAAAAATAAATAAAACAAGTAAAACATGTTCCAGAGTTTACTGTTTACTTACATTTTCTAATAAAAGGGCATTACAATGACAGCTGTTTTTATTTCACAGTTTCAGCAAAGTATCTGTGATGTAGAGGAAGAGAAGTCATGTACTTTGCTGTGATTTTGGTTTTTTTTTAACTTGAGTGTCTGTAGCAGTACAACCTACATTCCAACGGAGTTGCAGCAGGGCAATGTACCATCTCCACATGCTTTCTCTGCACTATGTAGACAGATAGATAATATGTTTCTCGTGGCATGCAATTTTTGAACAATATTTATTATGCTTTTGGGTGGATGGTTTTGTCATACAATGGATCTCTCATTAGTACATTGCTAGATCTCTTTCTAAATGCAGCCACTGGGTTAGTAAATATGCTGGGTGAAAAGAACCCTTGTGCAGAAACCCACCTATGAACCGC